TTGGCGACAAATCAAATTGCCTTTGAGAGGGAGGCGTTCAGACTTTTTTTTTGAATATTTTTTTCTTTTTGTTTGATTGCTTTCCAGTAGACGAGTCTAGCCGACGCAGTGGCAAGTCAACTTGAGGGTGCCTTCACAGGAGCCGCTCTAAATAAAGGGGAAAAATGACAGAAAAGAGAACGTTCTTAGAATTCCGCCATAAAATTGAATGCCGAATGCTGAATGTGTCACAAATAGTGGCAGCACATTCAATAACGGTTTGAAAGTCCCTACCTTGAACTTGTTCTCTAAGCAGTGCTGCTTGCACTTGGAGGTGATTGGACAGCCATAGTCAGCTGACACTGATGTGCTCATCATAACTGAGAAAGGGAAAAAATGGTTAGGGGTATTTTGCATTTAGTAATTTAGTGATTTGCAATTTAATATAGTTGAGCGATTTTTATTTGAATATTACCCAAACCAATGGTGAGGAGCAGAAGGAGCGAGAAAACCTGTCCGAAAAGCTTCATGATGAGAATATTTTTTTTTTGTTGGCTGCCGCTGCTGCTGCTGCTGCTGCTACTCTTCCAGACCGACTACAAGTGCTAAAGGTGCCTGTCAACCTTAACTGGCTGCTCTTTAAATATCCAAATTTTAAAGCGCATTAATTAAGCTACACTTTGATAACCAAACTCAATGACCACAATCATTGTCGGTTTGGCTGGTACTGCACCATTTCCCACAGCTGCTGCTGGTGATTAAACTCAACAACATCAACAACGGTTACTGCTGCAGAAAAAATAAGAAATCGACATTTTAGATTGCAATAAAATGTGTTACTTTGGCATTGTGCTAATCAGCCGATAAATTAGTGCGATACTGATTGCGGTTTGAGTGGAAAGTGAGTGGCCAGACTACACCAGTTGTTGTTGGCAGAAATGTACAACTGTAGTTTACAGCAGAACTTTAAAGTTACGATTGCATGGGTTNTTACTTTGGCATTGTGCTAATCAGCCGATAAATTAGTGCGATACTGATTGCGGTTTGTGTGGAAAGTGAGCGGCCAGACTACACCAGTTGTTGTTGGCAGAAATGTACAACTGCAGTTTACAGCAGAACTTTAAAGTTACGATTGCATGGGTTACACACACACACACACACTTAAACTGCAGTTGTCCGTGAAATCAACAACAAGCAGTAGCAAGTGGGCAATTTAGATAGGTAAAGATGAAAAAGAAGACGAGAAGGAAGGTCGTTACTGCAACGTTATGTAAAAGCACTTAAAAATGCAAAAATGGAGAGTTTTGGAAAAGGTGAAATAGCCTTACGGTTACGCAGCGATCCAATCACTTCCCTGAATGGGGCAAAAAGCGTGCACATAGGAGACATTTTAATCGGCACAGATGAAGTAGTACGGCAGTTTACGGCAATATTGACAAAGTATTTGTAGCAGCTTTTTATTTATTTGCATATGACACATGTTTAGCAGCAACTGATGCACATCAGCCGCTGAAGAAAGACGACAAATCGAAATGTTTGCCGTAATGTTGATGTGTCATAATGGACAAACAAAAATGAAAGCTACGCTATTGTAAACCAGATACCATCAGCGTGGTATCATGTTGCAAACGCTGGTGCGACAAGGGCATGTGATCCAGAAAATCAGAAAAAAGAAAGAATATTCTGAGGATTCTTCTTCTGCTGATCAGGTGGTGATGCCGCCTGGTGGCTACTTTTGCCCCTTGCGAAGGCCCTTTGCCTCTAGCTGCTGTTGCTTGCCGCCCTGAAGTTTGTTTTGCTGCTGCTGTTGTTGCTGTTGTTGTTGCTGTCTCCGCTTGCGCCGCTTCTTGGTGGGCGAGTTGGAGTCCTCGTCGCGCGGCCGCAGCAGCCGCTCGATGTTCTTGCTGGCCATGTCGTGCAGGCCGGTGTAGGTGCTGTACAGGTCCTCCGCCGCCCGGCAGAGGCTGTAGAGGGCGGCTCGGTCCGCCTCCACCAGCGCCCCCTCGTAGTCGGCCACCTGCGGGTGGGTGATGGCCCGCCGGAGGGCCGCCTCCCGCGTGTAGTAGAAGTCCTTCAGGCCGGCCTGCACCTCTTGGGCGGTGGCGTGCGCCTCGTTCACCGTCTCCATCGCTTTCGCCTGCACCTCCAGGCCGAAGTTGTTGCCCTCCTGGTACCGCGGGACCAGCAGCTGAATGGCAAAGGAGAGCTGCAGCGTGCTGTCCGCCAGCTCGCTCACGTACGGGGCCAGGCAATTGATCATCTTGTGGATGTGCTCGTTGGTGGCGATCATCGAGGAGGAGGAAGAGGAGTGCTTTCCTTCGTACACGTCCACCAGAAAGGGCGAGCCCTTGCCATCGGCGATGCAGAAAGTAGTGTCTCCTGGTGACAGTTTCTTTCGTTGAGCCTCCTCTGGGAGTCGGGCAATCCAGCTGGTGTCCGCCTGCAGGCTGGCAATGAGCGCCCAGTTGAAGGCGCCCTTCATCGCCTCAATTGCCTTGATCTTCAGCGGGTACTCATTCAGCACCAGGGAGAAGGTGTGCAGCGCATAGGCGCGGTAGTACTCCTCCAGTTGACTGGTGGTGGTGGGCAGGGCGGGCACCGGAAGGATGGCCACCTTCAGCTGGTTTGCCGCAATATTGTTCGTTTGAGGAGAGTCAGAGTCAGATTTGGAGAAAGGGGACGACTTGACATTCTCGGTTGGCATTCTTTCTTCCTGTTGTTGCAGGCAAGCTTTATCAGACAAGTGTAAATCACACTTGTGTAGCACCTTATTTTAGCAATTTTACAAACAATCTTTTGGTGTTTTACCTGAAATAAAACCAATTTTAGACAAACCGGCTTCATTGTTGGCAACGTGTGACGCAAGTTCGCTTCATGACTTGATAATTTGTCTTTGTTAAAATTAATTATTTAGCAAAGTGGTCTTTACTACTGTTGTTGTTGTTTTTGAAAATTACAACGACCGTTTTAGAACTAGAAAATGGTTAACTTTTTTGGTCAACTAAAAGTCACTTGGTAAAATTAAATTACAAAGTTTTAGAAGATTTAAATAATTTAAAATTTTTCTTTTTACTTATACGGAATAGACTCATTAATGATGCAGCATCTTAATTTGCATAAATGCCAAAAGACCGCTGCTGCAACGGTAATGCATAAAATAATTTGTTTTGAGTAAAATTACAAAAATTTAAAACTATGCTTCACTTTTAGACGAGCATAACAGAATGTAAGTGGCATCCCAGACAAAGCACGTGCAAACAAAAATTGCCATTGTTTTTTGCCTAATCTTTTTATACCTGAAACCTTACTTCATTATTTAGAACAGATCACTGAGCTTATTGTAGATATTTTTAGCACTCATCAAAACAAAGGTAGCTTGTAGGCAGTTCTGCACTTGACATCTGTGATGTGAGTACCGTTTAGCAGAGTGTGACTACCTGTGAATAAATGATTCATCCAAGAGAATAGTCGCCATTGTTTGATGTCTGGAACGCTTGTCAATAATTCAAATTCCTTCAAGGCATGCACTCTGCTAATTGATTAGTACTGTTATGCAGTGAAAAGTTGCCAGAAAAAAGTATCAGTTTAGGCAAACGGTGGAGTTTTAGTGTTGCATTAAAGTATTAAAGTAGTTTTTGTCTGAACTTTTTGATGGTTCAGTGTATTTAACTTTGTAAATGCACATAAAATAGTTAACATTTTTTGGACTTTAAAAATAAGAATTGATGGTCTACAGGCAAATTAAAGTTTGTTTATAAAAAAGCTTTAGAAAATTTGTAAAACAAACTAAACTGTTTTGGATTTAGTTCTAAGTTTGCAATGTTGTTGATTCAGCAAATTTAAGAATGACTTTTTAGGCAAACTTTACCAGACAATATACAAAAAGGTTTTTTCTGAAAGGGTGTGCAAAAGGACCACAAAAAATAATGCAAATAAAATGTGCTGAAAAAAGAAAAATAGCAACTGAAACAAGAACCATGTTTTTTTCCTTTCAAGCAAATTGTAAAAACTTTTTTTTCTAAATTCTTAAATGGCATAAAAGTCAAAATGAGTACTCAGGTAAAAACATGAAAAAGGAGCACACATTGTTCTTTGGGCAAATAAAGACAAATGCCTTTTTAAAGATATTGTGTTTGAGCACGCATGCATCGAATTTTCAATTGACATCTTTCTTCATTTGCTATGCAATTTGAATTTACATAAAATATCTTTATTTAGACCAAAAACTCACATTTTCAAGTGTTTACCTGTTTTGTTTAAACGCATTTTCTGTAACAATTTTTTTTGTTTTTTAAATTTAAAAGTTAATTAGCCTTAAAAATTGATGTGAAATGACAAACTAGTGAACTAAAAATGTTTAAATTTGTTTTTTACATTCAAGGCTCCAGATAACTAATACATAACCAAAAATTGCATTTGAATTGGAATTGGACAAAAAAGACAGGTGAATTTTTATTTCTCTCTCAAAAACTTTTGTATTCTGTTAACATTTATAAAAATGATGAATTTTATTGATTCTTGTGAGTTGCAGAACTTTAAATTCTACAAAAACTATTGTATTATGAATTGCGGCAAAAAGACAACAGCAGCCAAAGTGCTCGAGTACCATTTTGTTTGTCATTGCTGATGAAATGCAATGATAATGAGAGTCTGTTCAGTGCTTGGGAAGGATGACATATGTTGCCACAGATTATATTTTGTGGTGATTGTGTATTACAACAAAACAAAGTAGATTAATTAATGCAGCACCACGTAATCAGCCGCTCCTGCTACAATGATCAAACGGATACACTGTTCTTTGTGATTATGTCCTGATAACAGTAGCAAACAATAAACAAGACGAAAACAAAAGTGTCCTGTGAGGTGTTTCCACGTGTTCAACAATGGAGGAAACCCGCTTTACCGTCAGCTACTAAATCAGATCTAAAGTTTGAATATTTTTAATGTATAATCGAGCAATAACACGGGTTTTTAAAGCGTAATGCTGTTAATTATCTCCTCCTATTGTCATTTTTTTATTTTGCTGTTGTTTTGCTCAAATTTTTAACGACTTCTTTAAACTAAAATGCAAAGTAAGTTTCAGACGCTAGGCAAAAGTAAATGAATAAAAAAATAAAAACAAAAGTTAAAGACGGCAATCAAACGCATTTCAAAACTTTTTATTTGTTTGTAATGCAAATCAAATGAGTTTATTTGATTTTTACTCTAAATCCGCTACTGCTAATTAAGTAACTTTTTCTTTTTTGTTTTTGTTTTTGCAAGATTTAACTTTTATAAAAAACAATTTGTTTTTGGCAAATGAACTATGTGAACAATGTTTGTAATGACTTACAGTAGCGGCCCATAGGCCGCTAGCGACGTGGCTTTGAGAGTTCGAAGTTACGTCGCCTGTTTGTGTATATAAGCAGCTACTCTTTGCCATTAAAGTCAGTCTGGACTACGTATGCTTGTGTTCACTCTCACTCAGCGTTTCTTTACGTATTTTTATGTAAGAAGTGCATTCACACTTTAATAGGTTACCAAGGTAAAGGTTAAAACAGATTTTTGCTCTAGAAAAAAGATTCAAAAGCTTTTTAAGATGTTTTAAATGACATACAATTAATTTTCAATTAATATCCTCAATCTCTCGTTACTACATATGCTGTTTTTTGTAAATTTTAAAATTTTTAAGCAACTTAAACATTTAACAACATCATTTTTATACTAATCATCAATCATTAATTTTTTATAATTATTTTAAAAAATTTCAAAATTAAAATTGAAAACGATTAATAAATTAAAAGTAAAAGCAGTTTTGTGATTCAAATATAAAATCAAATTGAATTTGCAAAATATATATTTTTAATACTTTTTCAACACCATTTAGAAACGAGTGCATGTTTTTTAGCTAAGCAAATAAAAACTTTTTTTGTGCTTATGTTTGTTTACTTGAGTTGATTCATTTTTGCAGAAAACAAATTGAAATAAAAGCAAACGCATTTTCATTAACAAAACAACAACAAATACAAATATTATGCTTGCAATGTTATAATGCCTCAAAAATGAATCTAAAAATAACAAAAAACCGGCCAATTGATTTTAGTAGACAGCAGATTGGTTTTCAACTTAGAAATTGTGCTTTTTTGAATTCAAAACACTGGTTATTGAATTAAACAGTTTTACTTTTTAAATAAAAATTTAGATTGGAGAATTGTTTTTAGCAAAGCAAAGTGAGTAGAGAATCACTTTTTGGACGCACAGCAAACAAATTTCAAGAACGAGAGCTGAATAACAATTGAATAGTTTTCTATTATAAATAATTGATTTCAAATTTTCAATTATTGTACTGAGTGTGTCCGCAAACACATAAGATAAACAGGTAATCTTATCTGTTTTAACTTTTATTTTTAAAATCAATTTTTTTGTCGCATAATCCAAGGGCGTCGTTTGCATTCTGTATTTGTTTGCTTGAGATTTGTTTTGCACCAGCCATCGTGTATCTGGCAAAGATTATTTTCTTGTTATCATGAACATGTACAATTACAACATTTCTCTCTGTTTTCTCAAAAATATAAAATATGCAAACATTTTCTAGTGACAATGATGATGGCAATAAAAAACGTTTTGGCAGCAACCAAACGTTACATCCGCTTGCTACCAAGCTATATTTGTGCTCTACTTTTAAATTATTTTGCCTTCTAAATTAATAACCAAAATCATCACCAAGCAAAATATTTACTCTGTCCAATGACAATTAAATTTGCGCAGTGGCAAATGAATATTAAAATGGAAAAAAGGAACCTCTGGGAAATATGAAATATGAAAATGAAATGAAGGCAGTTAGTCGCCAAAGCACATTTCAGCAGTGACAAACACAAAGTTAAAACAACCAGCAGAAACTAAATTGTAATTTTCAAATAGAAAAAGGTCTCTGGCAGTCTGGCTCGTTCTTGTCTGGTCGTCTGATTGAGTTGCTTCTGACCGAGATGATTGCTTTTGTCTGTCTGTCTGTCTGACTGTCTGAGTGACTGTGTGTGCCAGAGCACTGTCTTTTTGTTCATTTGTTCATAATTGTAAAGTTTGCCTAATCACATTACCATTGCTGATGCACTTGTCTGCTCTCCATCTCATTGGTTCACTGCAAGAAGTTTGTATCTTGCAGGCAAAGTTAACTCTGTCTGCTGCCTGTGGCTGTACCGTTTATTATCTGCCTGAAACAGATGCTTCTTCAGCAGTAATTGCTGTTAGTGCTGCTTCTGCACAGCACACAGCAACCACTGCCTAATTAGCTTCTTGAGCACATGTTGCAGTATGAGGTGCTGCTGCTGCTGTGGCGCTATCGAAACAAGTTTCAGCTGATTAGCATGCTCTACTGCTGCTGCTGCTGCTGTTAGACGACAAGAGAGAAAGTGAGTGCCTAAAATCAGCTGTCACCACTTGCTTGACTCTCAATGTTGTGTGTATGACAGTGTCACCACCACCACCAAAATAAACTCACATTCAAAGTCAGCAGGTACCCCCCAGTGCAGCTGCTGCTGCTGTCTGTTGCACTGACTACATTACATCACTGGTTGAGCATCAAACAAAAACCTAAAACTAAATCTGTTATTCAAGTTTTATTTATAACACATTCGCTCAAGAAAACACACATAATGTCAGCCACCACCACCGCCGTCCCCACTGCTAACCACAACAGCAACAACACTGAACAACAACACCAGCTGCTGCCACCCACCTACATTGAAGGATGGAGCAATTTAGAGACGGTACGCGCAATTCCCTACCGGCGACTCGGCCGCACTGACATGGTCGTCTCTCTGCTCACATTGGGTTAGTCTGCTTGTGGAGTAGTGCTCGTGCACCCTTTCACGTTCTTTGCCATCTGGCAATCAAAACATGTCACTCTCATTATCACCGTCTTCATCATCATCATCATCCTCATCATCACCAACAACAACAAATTAATTTGTTTACCCCCACTGTCACAGGAGCCGCTCATGTGTCGGCGAAACCGTCAACGGCGGTGCACGCCGACGGTTCAGTGACCGGCACTGAGGAGTCAGTGGAGGCGATTCACGAGGCCGTCCGCCTCGGCGTCAACCTAATCGACACGTCGCCCTTCTACGGACAAGGCCTCTCCGAGGTGGTCGTCGGTCAGGTAGGACAACAAAATCTCTAGCCCAGAGAATATCCTTTTCACCTCTAATCACCCACAGGCCTTGAAAGGACTTCCTCGGCAGTCGTACTATATTGCCACAAAGGCAGGCCGCCATCCTGACTGCTCCTTTGACTTCTCCTCGGCGGCGATTCGCCGATCAGTGGAGGTAAATTTGTTGTTGTTGCTGTTGCTTTTATATTTGGCCCAAATCTCCCACAATCTAATTTTCTCCTCTTTTTTTGTTTATTTTTGATCCAGCAAAGTCTAGTCAAACTAGGCGTCGAGTACATTGATCTGCTTCAAGTGAGTAGTGCACTGGTGTGTGCGTGTGTGCGTGTGGCAGTGCACCTAAACCCAAGTGGTAATCTGATTAGTATGACGTAGAAAAGAAGAACAGAACATTAGTTCACAGTTGTTGCCACTTTGGAATGTGACAACTTTGATGCTTAACTTTTTGGTAAACACTCGATTCTCTCAGTATTCTTCATTTGTCCGTCGACAATCTGCCTTTCTTGCAATTCTTTTCCTGGAAATTTCGAAACAGTTGTAGCGTTATTTTCTTTGGAAGCGCGCAGATCTAAACATTTTTTCCTCAGACTTCCCTGTAATAACTTATTCATTACTTTTCCTTCATTTCCTTTTTTCCCTTTTTTGTTTATTCGCCCCTCTTTTGGTGGAATTATTTGGACGGATTTGATTTAGTGAATCGTTTATCTTCTACTGCACAGCACACTGTGTCCACTTCAGGCACTGACCAGGGACCAAAAACACTTCAGCCATTTCTCACACGCTTTTTCACGGCATATTTTTGTTTTCTGGTTGGCTTTTTCAGATTCATGACGTAGAGTTTGGCGACATTGAAATAATTCTCAGTGAAACGTTGCCAACGTTGGCCCGTTTGCGTGAGGAGAATAAGATTCGCTACATTGGCATCACCGGTTATCCACTTTCAGTGCTCAAGTAAGTTCGATCATCATTCATTTTTTCCTCCTTTTCTTCTTCTTTTTCCTTTCACTCTTTTCAAATCGAAAGCTGCTTCAAAAATCATTGCAAAACAGCACTGTCAATATGAACTGTCTGCTTATGTCTGTTTGCCGTTTAATCTGTCTTTTTCACTTGAAATCGATATTATTTTGAAAAAACTGTTTGCTTTTCAGAGAAATCATTGAACGCTCGACTGACGTGCCAGTGGACACTGTCCTCTCCTACTGTCGCCATACGCTCTTTGACGATGAACTGTGCCGGTATTTGCCCTTCTTTGAAGTACGCAGACTGTTCTTACTGCTAGCATTAGCAATACAATCACTTCCGCCAAACTAATATTTTATTTTTGATATGCTCACAAAATCCTTCAGTCAAAGCAGCTAGGCATCATCAGCGCCTCACCTTTTGCCATGGGTCTCTTTAACCTCTCTGCACCCATTCCGTACTGGCACCCAGCACCAAAAGAAATTCAAGATGCTTGCCAGCTGGCCGCTCAACTTGCCCAGGTACTTAAAAGTGTATGTGTGTGTATGTCCTCATTGTGGACCAATTGTTGGATCCACTTTTGATACCGATACCGCTGAATCGAGTAATTAAACTAAAGTGACTTTTACTTTTACTTTTTTACCTTTTTTGTGTCAGAGTGAAGGGCACAGCATCAACCGCCTGGCGCTGGCGCACTCGCTCGCCGAGACGCGCATTACCACCCATTTAATGGGAATGGAAACGTGAGTGCCTGAAAAAAGAAAAACCTAGAACTTCCTTTTCCTCTCTTTTTCCGCTTTTTTACTTTTTGATTCCGCATCTTCCTTCCTTCCTCCTTTTTCCCCGTTTAAACTTTCCGTCTGCTAACCATGCTTCATCTTTTTGCTTTTTCCACTTTTTTTCTTTTTTCCTCGTTTTTCTCGCGCTGTTCAATTTGCTTCTTGGCCGTTAATAACGTCGCCACAATGCGCCACACCATTCGCACATTCCATCAACACTTCTGTGCACGATCACACAATTCTCCAATTGCTTATCTTCCCTTTTCTCTCTAATTTATTTTCAATTTCAATTTTTTACTTGGGTTTGCTTTTTAATCTAAATGGCGCTGAAACCGGGTAATTTATGCGCTCGCACGGCGGCAAATATTTTGCTGTTTTTTGGCGGCGGCGCCCCAAACTATCGCCAAACGCTTTCTTCACTTTCTTGTTAATGGAAATGAAAACCCTCTTTTTAACCGAAACTACCCTGACGGAACTACTACTCTTATTACTACTTCGACTACAACTTTCACTACTTACTGGCGCCGTGGTGATAATCGGCTCTAACGCCGTGGCGCAAAATTGACAAAATTTTTACTTTTTTTTATTTCAAATACGGTTTTCTCACACAGTCCACAAATGGCTCGACTTAATGTGTCTACAGTGGTGGAGATGAAGAAGCTTGGTGAAGCGGAGAGGCTGATGCTGCAGCGCCTTCACACTGAAGTCTTCTCTCAGCTGACAGTGCACAACTGGGAGCACAAGGAGGTGGCTCGCTATCACAGCGATCCACAGGCATTTGTCCACTTTCTCCGATTTGGTGGCAAACAGTCCGCTGTTGCGGTTGACCAGTCAAAAAAAACTAAACAGAGTAGCAATGATGAAGGCCATTAATTAATTCCCCAGTGGTACAATTATTTGAAATAGAAAAAAGGGCCAAAGCATCTAATGTAATTTTTTTTGCTCACAAATCAAAATGTTAAACTCAAGTGCCATCTTAATTTGACCGATCACGATTTCCTCCCTTTTATTGTAATCCAGCGTAGGTTTTTTATTTGATCGATTGTCAATTCCCCATAATACAAATGCAATGAAATAAATGCAGCAGATGCTTCAATAAAAAAACGAGCAAATGAGAGCAATTTAATAGAGTCAGCAAATACTTCTTCTGCCAAACGACGGTCAAATAAAAGTTGACAAATCGACAGCGTTGTAGTCTATACGGGATGATTGAAGGCAGCACCAACAGCAACAGCTGCTGCTGTCTGGACTCTAATTCCAATCAAGAATGACTTTTCAGAGAAAAAATATGATGTTTTTGTTTTTTCTACAAAAATTGGAGTGTTTTCTATTTTTCTATATGTTTTCATGCGTTTAGTGCTTATCTATCGATTACAAAACAAGTGGATTACTTAATTGAAAAATGATTCCATTTGAGTTGCTCGATTTTTGCAATAATATCGTGGTAAATTGTAAAAAGTTTGCAGTAAAAAAAGTAACTGTTACATTTAATTTGTACTTTTGTTGAATTATCCGATAAGATAGCTGAAAAGCCCCGGTCAGGTGACAAACTGGCAGTGGGAATTGTCAACAACCCATTTTGACGTAGGATCGAGTCGCGCTGCTTTATCTAGTTTGTTTGCACAAGTCGTCTATTTTTGGAATAAATTTGGGCCTTCTCTACTGCCATTTAGCTTTGTCGTTGTACTCTTCACTAGCTGCAATTTCAAGGTCAAAAACTACTCTAGTTTTGATCAAAATCGCGCGCGTGTCTTCTTTGTGTGAAATCCATCACTATTGTGTTTCGGACTTTTTTTGGACAAAAATAGAATTGCTATACATCGTTTTCCAAGTAGTGAAATTGAGGTTTTTCGCTCAGTTTGAAATGTTTTTTTCAAATATTTACTTTTAAAGCCAATGCAAATTATCAGCCATCTTTGCAGAACTTTGAATAAATAAACAGCAAACAATGGCGTGTAGCATCTTGTGATGCGTTTCAAGATTTTTTTATAAAGCNTAAAAAAACGAGCAAATGAGAGCAATTTAATAGAGTCAGCAAATACTTCTGCCAAACGACGGTCAAATAAAAGTTGACAAATCGACAGCGTTGTAGTCTATACGGAATGATTGAAGGCAGCACCAACAGCAACAGCTGCTGCTGTCTGGACTCTAACTCCAATCAAGAATGACTTTTCAGAGGAAAAATATGATGTTTTTGTTTTTTCTACAAAAATTCTATTCCCATGTTTTCCTCATTCTTTTTCTAACAACAAAAATAGGCCATCCAGGCGATCAGAAAAGAGCTTTCCAATTTATTATTTCCCCATTTCTCACGTTACTGCTGCACTTGTGGACCACTAATGAAACCAAATCTAAAATGACAAAGTTTCTTTTTCTTCTCTCTTTGTCCCTCATCTTATTATTTTTTGTGCACTTGAAACTCTACCGATAATTGATTACCGTCTTTTTTACCCTTGTCCATCGAATGTTTTGTTTTTCTTTTTTAATCATCAATCTACTGCTTTTGTTTTGTTTTTATTCGGTGCAATATTCTTAGAGAAAGAAATTTGAAATGCGGTTGAGCGAAAAAGCTCTTTAAGTACGGAAACTAAACCAGCAAGGGGGAGGCTCATTTTAAAAACCGGTAGAACTTGTAGTTTTAATTTGTAAATGTTAACTTTGTTTTTCTTTTAATAATTATTCAGCCAAATGAATAGAAACATTTTTGCTTTGTGTGCCGCCTAACTTTCTAGTGGCCGTTAAATGTCACGGCCGATTAGCAATCAATGCGTTAGCATCACTAAGCAAAGAAAACGTAGGAGGCAAAGTCTAATTCATTTTGAATAACATCTGCTGAATGTGCTTCCAGGCGGAAGAAGACGACTACTTATGATGAGAAACAAAAAGGGGAAGCACTACTACTTTAACTTTCTGATTTGAAGACACGTAGACATCTTGGTTGTACGGTGGAATATTCAGTGAATAAAGGGGGTTTCTTTTTCTTCTTCCCTTCCACTACTACTCATCATGTTGTTGTACGGCGATTTGTGCCTAATCTGTTGAGAGCTAGATGAAAGTGCACGCACAGCGCCGAGCCTAATACTAATGGACAGCATCTTTTTTTTCTACAGGCAGAGAAGGCGGAGAGCTTGCTGTTGTGTTCTTCAAAGCGTAGGCTGGAAATGGATGGCAGAATCGTGTTTTCATTCATAAATTAGAAAAAAATCTCTTTTAATTAAAAAAATTTTTAAAAATAATTTGAATGTTCCAGAAAACTATTTTTTACAATGACCTTGATGTATTTTATTGATGATGATGTACACTCTTTTGTTTTTTCATAAGAGTGTTGTCAATTTTTTGTAATGATAACTGGCGCTGTTGTCAAGCAGTGACAAGTGAAAGTGTCTGACAGTACTTTCAGTGCTACTGTTAATCATTAGTTTAAAAAATACTATATTTTTCTTGACTCACTCTACTTTGACTTTTTCATGTAATCGTTTCTAGCAGAAGCACTAGACAGCTTGAGTAATTGTATCTTTTAAATTTTTTCAACTTTGTTCCATTCTTTTGATGACAGTCATTTTTGCTAGAAGCTTCTTTTTAGGTTCGTGACTTTTGATGACAACAAAACTGGTGCTGTTTTTGCTCTATTGATTGCAGTCTGTCTGGTTGCCTGAGTGTCTGGTTCGCAATTTAATTTAACAATTTTAGCAAAATTCCAGACTTTCCTATTGTAAATGGGCAATTTGGAAATACTCACATGAAAACTCTGTACTTGTAATGGCGTCTAAACTTTTTTTATAAACAGCAAAAAACTAAATGTTGTTAATTTTAAAGTTTTGAAAGTAAAACACCAAAAACAATTTATAATTTAAATCTACTTTGAAAGTTAAAACATGCATTTTTTGTTTTAAAGTTTAAAAACTTACAATCTTTTTACTTACTTGTTTGAGTGCACTTGCACTGGTACCTTTATTCATTTTTTATAGCATTCAAAATTAAGTTATTTTTATGGTTGTTTGACTACTAATATCGGTAGTGAGCATTAGATACCAGTGGCTAATATTTTGGCCAATAGTCTGTTTTGTTCTCTTGAGAAATGGTGGTCCTAGTTGAGGATGTTTTCCTGTAAAATCATTAGTACGCTTAATTTTTATTAGTTGTTGATTTTTGAAGGCAATAGACGATTATGGTGGTTTGCAACTTTTACGATTTTCACCAAAACCCAAGTGATTGCTTGCTGACCACCATTGCTATTATTATCTTCATTAACCGAAACTTCACTTCTCTGTGCACACAAAAGAGAAGGGGGCACATTTCCCAATTGCGCAATTATTTTGCCCGTATATCACTGGCAAATAAAAGACACCATTCATTTAATTGAGCACTTGCTTCATACTCGACCACACTTGGAACGTCTTTATTTTTTTGCTGTTTTTTGCTCACTTTGGTTTATTACTACCGTTTTTTGTCGTCTAATCCATCTAGAAACTGTCATGCACCGCCAACATAACCAAACGTCCTTGTTTGCTTGGCTTCCTTTTTTGGACTCCTACTACTTTTTTCTCCTTCATTTGACTAATGATTGGCTCCATTATTTATTTAGCCTATTTCTTATCTTCTTCGTTTGCTTTCAAATGCATATCTAACCGTCTGCGTCTAGAAAGTGGAATGTCATTACTAAAGAGAAAAGAAAAGGATGGTTATAATTCCCATATGCATAATAAATGAGCAATAATGTTATTCGTGTGCTACAGCTTTTTGTTGACTGGCAACGTCAAACTGGAAAACACCAAAAAAATTGTACTGAATGTGTCCGAGTGACATTCAAATTGTTATCAAAAAACGGAACAGTAATTTTAAAAATTTTCGATTGTTTCCTCAAATAGGTTCAATGGGCTCATCTAGCTCAAGTGTAATTTACGTTTCAGTTTTAGCTTCAAAATTGGACTGTGCGTCATTGATGGTAGCACTGCTTCACGTGCACTTTAATTCAGTTAGTCATGCACAGTTTTTAGTGCACAGCTAATGACTTGTTGTTTGTCATCGTTCTTTGTCGTTTTGGGAGGCACTTCATACACGGAATAATTGTTGAATAAGTGTTTATTCTGTCCATGTTACGATTAGATGAGTGCAATTTAAATTCGATTTAGCTGCTGTTTCTGCTGCTGAAAATGTACGTGGCTTGGCTGCATTAGCGAGTTATTAGAATAATCCGTCAACAGACTGCCGCTGTACTTTGAGGTACATTCAGTTGAAAATGAAATTAGAACGTCCAGGAATTGAAAACTAAACAGAAATGTGATCGGCTTTTACAGTTCAGAGGGCTGCTGTTGTGACAAACAAAAACAGAATGAAGCAGGCAAGTTTCGCCTAGTTTTGGCAACATTGAATAATTTACGCTGTCCACTGAGCAGCATATGGCAGTCATGGGATGCTGAGGATTGTAATTTGAAAAGGAAATTTGAGATTCTGGGAATGAAATTCTGTAATCTGTTTTGGTTTTTATGCATAACAACAATAATAACGGATTAGAAAAAGTGCAAACGTAGTTCGGTGACGCATTTTTCTAACATAATATTAATTTTTAAGTTTAAAATTTTCTTTGAAACAAATTAAATTTAATTCATAGTGCCGATTAGATGCTACTAACCAATAAAAAAAGTTATTAAAATCTTATTATTTGGGATTCTCCCATTTCAATACTTTTTTGCAATCGGAAGCACAATTTCTTTGAAATGATAGAACTTCAACGACTACGACTGTTTTTTTGTCTACGAATTGCTGCCAATTAAAAAGCTGCCGAGTGCAGTGAAGTGCATCCAATTGACATGCTATTCGCGGCTCCCCGTCTGGTGATTAGCACTTTATGTGTAATTTTCAAGCCGACAAAAACCGTCTGCCATAGGCAAAACAAAAGACTTGAGAAGTTAAGAATCGGAGACTTTTTTGTGTCTGCACTTCATCATTCTAACCATTAACCGACACATAGCCTTTCTTTTAAATTCAGTTTATTGGCGCAAAAAAAGTTACTAAACATCAACCACTTCCTTTTGCCATAATTTATTCTCTCAATTTTTTTAACAACAACAACAACAACAGCATTTCAAACCGGAGNTGTCTGCACTTCATCATTCTAACCATTAACCGACACACAGCCTTTCTTTTGAATTCAGTTTATTGGCGCAAAAAAAGTTACTAAACATCAACCACTTCCTTTTGCCATAATTTATTCTCTCAATTTTTTTAGTAACAACAACAACAACAACAGCATTTCAAACCGGAAACGTTTATTTACGAATTGACAATAATCATAATTCTCTAAACTGGTGTGCCGTGCCAATGATAGCCAGCACAATCTTCTCATGCACAACAGCTCAGCAATAGTATTGACCTACTTGACGGCCATAAGTTGGCTTGCCTTCTCTCTGCCTTGAATTGAATCACCACCAGCACATTGCAACTTCCTCAGCTGTCGTTGACTTCCTTTATGCTGCTGCTGCTGCTGTTGCCTTTCCTAAACAATTGATTACCACATTTTGAGTGAAAGCGCAATTTCACTGACAGACAAGCTAACTGAGAAAAGAGGCATTCTGTTCTTCCTTTAGAGGTAGTTGCACAGTGGCTGCTACTGATAACGGGGGAGGCAGTAAATCACACACAGTAGTTCTGTAGTAGCCTACATTACTGCGTTTTAACTAGATTGAACACAACATTAAACATTTAGTTTGTTTGACGGCTGAACAAAGAACTGACCGATGCTCTCGGCCTGTGACTTTGCCGTAACTTGTTGATTCAGAGATTCGCAAGGTCATTTTGGGCTTTTCTCAAAAACAAGTCACTTAATCCTTTGCCATGTTGCTCTCTGCAACAGGAAAGAGCCCTTTTTATGGAGGTGCCACTCTCCTCTGTCTGATCTCCCTGTTCCTGATTCTCAGCACATCACTGGTGGACGCACAGTACGGCGGAAATCCTTGTAATAACTTGCTTTTCTATTTTCATAAAATTGCTTTTTCTAATTACCGTTTTACTGTTAACAGTCCGGCGGTTCTTGAATCGCATCAATCCACGGCGGAATGGTCGACAAGAGCAGCGAGGTGGCAATGGAAGAGGCGGAAGAGGAGAAGGAGGTGGCGGATGCCAGACCCGAGAAGGACTGCCTGGCCGGTGTCAGCCGTTGGCACACTGCTTTTACCAGTACGCCGACCTGGAGCAGATTGCCGGCAACCGGTGTCAGCTGGGCGGAGGACGAGACCAGGGCCATCAGGGCGTCTGTTGTCCAACTCGAGACCACCGACCAACTGCTCAAGGTAACTGGGTGGACTCTCCATTTTCATATCAAAACTCACTTTTTTTATTAGTTCCTTTCCGTTTCACACCACCCGAGTGGCCCTCCCTTCGACTGCCCATCGACAAGGAGCAAATTATCAGAGCGGTCGGTCGAACAGAGGACGACATTCGCGCCTTCCTCTCCATGGAGACGAACCTCATTGGCCAGGGCTACTACCAGCGACCCAACTCAATGGCCTCCATTCACCAGGCCGTCTTTGGGCCGCCGAATGAGAATCTGCAGAAGATCAACCTGAACGGCTTTCGGGCGCTGCAGGTGACCCGCTTTCTGGGACGGCGTTTCCGCCTCGGCCCTGTGGAGATGCGTGACGGCCTCTCGCAGTTTGACCTGTACGACACCGAGTACGAGCAGTTCTGTCCGGCGATTCCGCGCTGTTCAGAGCGGGAGAAGTACCGTACGATTGACGGCAGTTGCAACAACCTCAATGAGCCCATCTGGGGCAAGTCAAATACGCAGTACTCGAGGATGATGCCACCGGCTTACAGTGACGGCATCAGCGAGTTTCGCCGCTCCGTCACCGGTGGTCCACTTCCGCTGGCCAGAGTGCTCTCCACTGAGGTAGAACTTTCTAAATCAAAGATTTTCAAGTTACTAAGTTCTTTCATTTCAGCTCACTTTTACCTCTTCTAAATTGGATCGCAATCTCAACGTTATGGTAAATGAGAAAAAAAAGTTTGTTGTTAACAAGTATTTAGTAACTTTTTTGTCCTTTATACACAGTTTATGCAATGGGGCCAGGTTTGTTTGCCAGTTTTGAAGTTTAAATCGTACTATTAAATTTTATGTTTAGTTCCTTGATCATGACACCACTCTTGGATCATCAACTCGAGGTAGGTTCAACAGGTTTTGGTTTTTTACAATTTAAAACTTCTATCTTTTATCTCAGCCACCAACGGTCAAGGTTTACTGTGCTGCAATCGAACTCACTTGGAGGACCCTGTCTTTCACCCTGCTTGTCGGTAATTATTACAAACTAACTTAAAAATAAAGCTTTTTGCACTTAATTTTTTCCCTTTCCTAATTTAGGCCAATTATCATTCCGCGACGCGACCCATTTTACAGTCGCTTCAACCGTCGCTGCAACAACTTTGTCCGCAACGCCGTCGGCATGAAGAACAACTGCAACCTGGGCTACCGAGAGCAGACTAATGTCATTACCTCCTACCTAGACGCCTCCATGGTTTACGGTAATCAGGAGAATCGATCAAGAATTGTGCGCACTTTCAAAGACGGTAAATGGAAAAAAAACCGACAGAGCAGACAAAATTAATCGGTTTAACACTGAAAACCCATTACATCGATTCCCATTCAGGTCTTCTACGCGTCTCACGCATAAACAAGCGCGATTTTCTGCCCTACGACACAATGAACAACTCAATGTCAGTGTTTGAGCTTTTTTCTGTACTTGTTTAGCAGTTTAAAATTTCTGTTTTGTTTTTTTGGTTTTTGTAGCGCTTGTGCCGTGCCGCAGAACATGCGCCTCCAGGGAGACGCTCAACGACGTTGCATCTACTCGGGTTTGTGCGATTTTTATTTGTATTATCTTTTGTCTCCTCTTTTTTGACCCTGAAACAAAACACGTTTTCCAGGCGATGTACGTGTCAATCAGCAGATTGGTCTGATCACATTGCAGCTGTTTTTCCTTCGGTGAGGCTTGCTCAAGATTCGCTGCTTTTCTGCTGCTGCTGCTTTTGTTGTTGTTGTCGTTTGATCAACAGCAAACGATTGCCTAACACTATTCTAATGTTATTTCCTCCCCTCTGTCTGTGTCTTTTTATAGAGAGCACAATCGACTTGCCCGGGAACTGAAGAAGCTTAATAGACGTAATTTACTTTAGCTGTGTCTTTTTTCCTGTGAACAGCATAAGAGCATTCTATCTTGCATTTTTTTTGCATCCAGACTGGAGCGACGAGACCATCTTCCAAGAAGCGAGACGGATCGTTGGCGCAGGTAAGTTTCTTTTGTAAAGGAAAAGCCTTTTGTTGTAGGGCAGACATTGAACTGTTTTCTTACTTTTCTTTATGCAATGCAGAAATACAGGTAAGGAGGGCTTATTAACCTTTCAGTTTCTGAACAAATGGAAAATCTAATTTAAACTTGAACCTTGCTGTGATTGTATTTTCAACTTTAGCAAATCACCTACAATGAGTGGTTGCCGCTTGCCCTGGGTAAGCTTGTTGACTGATTTAATGAATGAATGATCATGATTTTTTTTGTTGTTTTCAGGTCGAAACACCATGAAGGCCACCGGGCTGATGTTGATGCCCGAGGGCTTTTGCACTGACTACAATCCTGCCGTCAATCCGGCGATCCTCAATGAATTTGCCTCTGCTGCCTTCCGCTGGCACACTTTGGTTCAGGTAAAATTACTTTGCAATTGTTTTAGTTGAAATTGTTTTGTCGTTTGTTCTAAACTTCATTTTTTGTTGCTTTCAGGGGTTCTACCAGCTGATGAGCGAGAACGGCCAGGTTCGGGAAAACTACCAGATGCGGAAAATATTCAACAATCCATCACTGCTGTACCGAGATGGCGCAATTGACGAGGCGACGTACGGTCTGGTGGCTGCCAAGTCCGAAGCCTTTGATCCGATCTTCATTGATGATGTATGATGGCAAACAATGTCATCCTTTTTTACAACCGGTTTTTTATTTTTTTGGCAGATAAAAAATTTCCTCTTTCCTGCCGGGCAGAACGCCACCTTTGGCATGGACCTGGTCTCCATCAACATTCAACGAGGCCGTGATCACGGAATGCCGCCGTACAATGTCGTACGACGAGCCTGTGGACTCCCTCCAGTGCGGGACTTTCGCCAGTTGAATAGCATACTCCAACGAGGCAGTGCTGCAAGATTTGCTGAAATCTATGAGTAAGTTTTTGGAATTGATAGTTTGCATAAACCAATGAGTTTTTGGTTTTCAAGTCACGTCGACGACATTGACCTTTTTGTGGGCGGTGTCCATGAGCTACCGTTGCCAGAGGGCATTTTGGGGCCCACCTTTGCGTGCATCGTCGCCGAGCAGTTCCGTCGCCTGAAATGTATGTTTTTTTTGCTTTACTCAGCTTATGGCTTTCTCTAATGATATTCTTTTTTTGCAGACGGCGATCGATTCTGGTTTGAGAACGGCGGTATGGCGCATTCCTTTAGCGATCGTAAGCCAGTTTAGACTAGTGGGTCGTCAAGAGTGTTGCAATTTCTAATCATGCGACTGTTTTTACTTCCGTGCAGGACAACTGAATGAGCTTCGTAAAGTGACTCTTGCCGGCGTCATCTGTGCCAATGGTGACCGAATTCGCAAGATGCAACCCTTTGCTATGGTCGCCAAGCACGACAGACTGTAAGTTGAACTATTTTTGTTTCTTTTTGTTTCTTTTGTTTTTTGGTTGCTCTGCAGTGGCTTTACTCTGCTAGCCCAAGAGAAGGGCCATTGTTTTTTGAGCTAAAGAGAGTATTAAGTTTCTAAATCGGAGACGCTGTCGCTCGTAGCAGT